CTTCCCCAATCATGCCTTGAAGATGCCTGCTCATGCACTTTGGGGTTTGGCTATGATCCCAAACGTAAAGATTACGTACTTCTCAGCATTGTGTCTTATGGGGAGGAAATATTGGATGACGAACGTCTTGTCATCCATCCTCCCCAAGCAGAAATATACACATTGAGCACTAATTCTTGGAGGGAGATTGAGACTCATTACTTGGAAACAGAAACGACCTACTTTTGGGGCAATGAGACTTTCTCGGCCTATTTCAATGGAGTGTTTTATTGGTTGGGGTATGAGGAGAAAAAGGAGTTTGTGTCTTTCTATGACAGGCTTGAGGAGGAAAAGAAGCAAGTGATCATTTTGTTTGACACATTTGATGAAGTTTTTCACAATATGCCACTTCCGGATTGTTTCTATGAGTTTCCATCTCATGAAATGTCCCTTACGGTGTGGAACGAATCCATTGCTCTTTTCGGGTTTTATCGTTGTGAATTTGAACCCTTTGAGGTTTGGGTGATGGATGAGTTTGATGGGTGGACAAAACACTTATCTGTTGTGCCCAAAGTGGATCAGGAGGTAGATATACCATTGGCACTTTGGAGGAGGAACGAGGTTCTTTTGGTTGACAGAGATGGACGCATATTCAGCTACAACTTCGATACCGAAAATCTGAAGTATCTCCCTGTTCATGGTGCGTCCAGAGGAGATTTTCAGGCTGTTGTTTGTGTTAATAGTATAGTTTCAGTCAAATGAGATAACAAGTTCGAGACCAAAGATTATAGTTTCAGCATTTCTCACTTTGTAACTTATCAGTAAGCTTGTTGAAAGATGTCAATAGGAATCAAATTTTTTTGAAGTACTTACTGCTTATGGAAAGAGTAAGCCAGATGGTCGTGACACTTGTGATATCATTGATCTATACTGTCTTTCCTTTTGATAAGATGACTGAAAATGGCATAAGTTGGACTTGAATTACAATCCACAATCCACATGAATTTCTGTCATCAATATTATATTCGCAACAATGATAATGATGGCGATCATAATATAAATCTTCATGGTCCTGTCGTGGAGGACCTCAAATTTCAACTTTCTATGGGTCTACTACAAATCAGGAACCAATTTATTGAGCTCCATACTCGAGATATTGATTCAAAATCTTTCTTTTGATAATGCGATTGAAACTGCATAAGTAAGCTTCTGCATTTGACAGAAGAAGATGCTTTTGCTCATCTTGCTCAAAATGGATTTTTTGATTGCATTATACTCACATTTGGTTAAACCTATTTTAACCGAATGCGCCATTACCAGAACGAAACTGAAAAACTGATTTAATTTACACCAAATACATGTTTATTTTGCAGGCAAAAATGACAGCTTACTTGTAAACCAATAGCAGGGAATTCCCAAGATCTGATTATCATCATCAAAGTTATAAAATACTAAACTATCCAATACAAACAAATACAGTAATGGTTGAAGAAAGGCGGTTCAGAAAAAAGTATCTTTATTATCCTCCTTCAAATATATTATATTCCTAGCAAAACTTCCACCATGCCATGTTATATGGGAAGTTTACTTAATCCTTGTGTGAGAAGTTCTCAATGTTGATGTACTTCGCATATTTGTCAGCCTTTGCTCCAGACTTGTGCTCATAGTATTCAACCACTGCCGCACCGGCTAATGCAGCCAGCGTCAGACCCTGTGCATGCAACCTGAAATAACATTGAGGGGCATGAAGTCAGAAGGGAAGCACAAGAAGTTGTAAACAAACCAAACAAGAAAAACTAGAAAATGAACGAAACAGATTTCCCAGGGGTGAGGGGGTGTACGGTTTGAAAGTTAAAAAGGCCATTAGGATGAATGGAAACAGGAAAATTGGAGAGGAAAGACTATTTGAAAGCATTCCCAGTCAACAGATGGAAGCAAGTTACAACAAGAATAACTCACAATGCTCTCAATTTTTCCCTCCATACTCCCTAGATCACAAGTGTCCTTAAGCATTTTTATTTAAGAGTTTGGAAACTAAGAATTTTTTTCCCCCTAGATAGACCATGACATATTATTGGAGTAACAGTATGCCTGAAGTAATCCCAGAGACACAGTTCGGATTAGGGTAAAGGATCTAAGAGCCTATGTTCACAATAAAATTTCCATATGCAGGACACTCATGCCAACCTAAAGTAACAAATAGCAACACTGCTTCCGGCCAATGCAGAGGGGCTCCTCTGCAATATGCTAAATCCCCAAATTGAAGGGCCATCACAACAAAATCAACTTTTGAATGGCAATCCTGACTAAGGCACAGCTCTCATGCCAGGGAAACAACCTATGCATAGGACTTACATGACAAATAACACTGGCAGGGCAAAGGAATACCAGAAAGGGAATAGTTTGAGGCATGACCAATGACAAACTAACCTCTAGTTCAGAGAGAAATTGCCTTATGCCAAACATAATGTCATGCGCATTCAAGCATTCATGTTACCAGTTACTAATTACAAATAGGATAATTGAATCAGCAGATGAAATATATACAAAAGCTCCCATTGAGCAATATTCTTTCAATATCTAATGAGTAAGGTACAACAATATTCTTCTAAAGCTAAACAAAATTTAATGAAAAGACATACCTACCTATTTCCCTTAAAAGTTATAACTCGGTAAATGCATACATTACAAAATGCAATTAGCAAAGCTGCAAATCAAAATCTGTCAAGAGAAATTAAGAATTTATGAAAACCAAAACTACCTGGCGTGAATGATCCTGACACTGGTCTTCATGTTCGGCTGAGACCAGTTGTATGCTATTGAACCCGCTAATCCACTGAGCCATAGACACCCTTTTCCAGTTATGCAAATAAAAAATCATTGTCAAAACAGATCCACGCACACAATTATGCAGTAATTTGGCTAATATCCCTTTTTCCAGTATCAAAAAATAAAATATACCAAGTACAAAAGCTAAGAGTAGTAATTGAAGAAATAAAGCTAAAAGGAAAATAAAAATAAAAAAAACCTAATTTCGGCTTCAAACCAAAGGACAAACTTTTTTCCCCAATATTGTAAAAATGAATGTCCAGATCAAGCAAGCAACAACATTCATCCAACAGAAATCCAAGATCATTAAACTAGAAACCAAATGAACGAATTCAAATCACAAAGATGTATTGCATACATAAATTAAACCCATTTTTACAACGAGAACAGCAAAGAAAGATCTAAACCAGGCCAAAGCAAACAACTTTTCTAATCCAAGTGGAAAAATCAAAGCAGAGAAAAGTAGGGAAATTTACCGACAGCTCGAAGCTTATGCTCGACAAGCCATTCCCTGATGGAATCGACGGTGTTCTTAGGTTCCGACATTATTGAGAGAGATGGTGTTTTCAGATAAAAAAAATTGAAAAGAAAAGGGCTTAAGGTTTGTGGCTTTGGTTGGGGCTTCGTGACTTCAATTATAGAGATGCAGAAGGAAAACCGAAGTTGTAAACCGCGAATACGGTGGGCACAGTGCGAGGTGGCACGATTAAAACGTGTACCATATTTTTGTATATTTTCTATCCTAGGACAACTCGTGGTTATATCGTCATATCGTATCATCTTCTCATGTTCTCGTGGTATATTTTCTATCCTTTTTCTTTTTCTTTTTTGGTGGTCAAATTATTTGTTCTTGTTGGCTAGACCCTTGCCCGCACACTCTTTAGTTGTGCTTTTTCAATGTTTATTTTTAAAAAGACTTGGTTTTAAAAGAACTGAATGGTATGGGTTCAAAGACGACGGCGGCTGTTGAGAAAGGTATCATTAACCTTGTTATTGAAGTGGATGATGTTGTTGTTCTCTCACTTGTTTGACAAATCATTTCATTGCAGTGCCATCCTCTTGCTGTTTTAGTGCCTAGTTATTCTGATCTCATGAGATCAATTGAAAATTGTCACCTTGTTTACATTTACAAGGAAAATAATTGTATTACGTATTGTTTGGCAAATTAGAGTTATAACTTGGACCTTGAAATTTGCTTCTTTGATGAGGCTCCTACTTGGGTTATCTCTCTGTTGGTAGATGATTTGCGTAGTCTTTCTAGGCTCGACTTATGCGCGATGTTTAGTTATTGTTTTATAAGTTTTCCCCCTATTTCACCAACAACAACAAAAACGGTGGTTTGTGTTTTCTTCTATTTTCTCAAGTCTGTAAAATAATCTTTGAGGTTTGTTAAAGTTATGGCATTTAAGGGTAAAGACATGCACGTATGAGCTTAGTCAATTTGTCTCAAGTGGATGTTCTTCCTACTTTACATATGTATTTGAATTCTCTTTTTGTAATTTAAATTAAATTAAAGTAGAATATCGCTTATTAAATATAAATAAAAAAGGTGAAGACATATATTTGTCTAATTAATCTGAATATTGATTATAATATGGGTCTATTATTACCTTTTGCACATGTGAAAGGAGACGAGTAAGATGAAAATAAAAATTATGTATTCTCAAATTTTATGAAGGTATCATGTCCTTGTGTTTAAAAGGTATCATGTATTTTTTATTAATTTATTACTGTTATTGTCAAATTTTATAGGTTATAGTGACCACATGCAATTTTTTATTTTTTATTTTTTAAAACTGTTTACTTATTATATTGTTAAATTTGATAGGTTATAGTGATCATAGGAAATTTTTTACTTTTTATTTTATTTAATTTTTAATATATATATTTTCCAAATATATTTTATGGTATTTTAAATATTTTACTATTCTCTATCTTTTGTTATATAATATATGGATAGATAGATAAACAAATGAACAAGAAAACTTTAAATTTGTATTTACAAACTATCAGATCCGTACGTGTCACGTGACAGTGATGGTGAAAGAACATACATGCATCTCGTGCACGCATGAAAATCTACAGGTCAAATTCCTAAATTCTCCAATTATCTTCAAACTTCCCATTTTACCCCGCACGTTGATGTAGCGCCACGTAATAAATGGCAGAAACTACTGGAAGCATTGGACCGCAACCCGCCCATAGTCGAGCCCTGTCCTCACTAACCCTTCCAGAAGCTACCAACTCTATCAGAACGAAAATAACTCACTGACCCGTTATCTCCTCTCTCTCTCCTGCAATCTGTGTGAAGTTTTAAGGTAAGGCCTATATTTGTCTAAGAAATTCATGAATAAGAAGACAAATTCGTTGTATTTTAATTGTGAAGTTTGGTTTTTTTTTCAAATTTGTGGTATGGTAATTTCGGCTGTGTTTTCAGGGGGAAAAAGATGAGTAGCCGATCGAGTCGCACTATCTACGTCGGCAATCTGCCTGGGGATATTCGGATGAGAGAAATTGAAGATTTGTTCATGAAGGTCTCTTTTTTTTTTTTTTTTTTTTTTCTTTTCTTATATATTTTATTTTATTTTATAAAGTTTTTCTTTCACAAAAATTTATTGAAATATACTTTCTTTCTGCGAGTGTTTTTCTTATTGATTAATTTGATATAGTTATGTGTAAATATTAACTTTTCCTCTGTAACCAATCTGTTTCCAAGTAAGATGGACAATTTGCTTCCCCTTATTGTTGACTGCCAATTAATTGGTTTAAGCTGCTTGCATTATGTTATTTGCTAACTGCCTTTGATCTTTCTATATAATTGCAGTACGGGCCCATCGTCGACATTGATCTCAAAGTCCCGCCGAGACCACCGGGTTATGCTTTTATTGAGGTAATTTTTGAATTTTTTTATGTGCAGGAGATTAGGATTTTGTTCACATAATCTCTGCATTTGAAGTTTCATCTTGCTAACCGTTGCAATTCAATGTTGGTGAATTGGTTACTTATGTTTTGCTTTCGTTGGTTGAAACTTTTGTAATACTTTCGATTTCGATGCTTAATTGCAGTTTGAAGATGCTCGAGATGCTGATGATGCAATTTATGGCCGGGACGGGTACAACTTTGATGGGTATCGTTTACGGGTTAGTCATACTTGTATATTGACTTCTCCTATTGCGTATTATTTATGCTAGTATCCCTACTTAATGCTTATTATTGTAGTCTCTCTTAAATATGTTTGTTTTTCATCTTGCTTTGTAGGTTGAACTAGCGCATGGTGGACGAGGACACTCATCGTCAATGGATCGATACAGCAGTTACAGTCATAGTAGCAGTAGCCATGGAGCTTCCCGGCGCTCTGACTATCGTGGTATGTATCAACTTCAACACTATTTTTGTAGCAGTTTTTTGGGGTTCAATTTAGTTAATTTATAATATGTCACTTCATTGTGCAGTACTGGTAACTGGATTGCCTCCTTCTGCTTCATGGCAGGATCTGAAGGTAAGAAATATACTTTCATTCTGTATCTGTGAGCTTTTCCAATACACTTGTTTTATGGCATTGCATTAACGTATTTAAAGGCTAGAGCTACTTAAAATGTTTTAGCAAATGAATGTTAACTACTAATTATCTGTATTCAATTATCAGGACCACATGCGTCGAGCTGGAGATGTCTGTTTCTCCCAAGTGTTCCGTGATCGGGGTGGTGAGTTGATTAAGTTGTATTCTCCTTTTGCCTTCCATAGTCATCAGCTTGGACCTTGGAATTTTCCTTTTGTGTACTTTTATCATGTTGAAGTTGTGTGTTTATTGATTTTAATAGTTTTTATTACAATTTTCTTGTAGGCATGACGGGAATCGTAGACTACACAAACTATGACGATATGAGATATGCTGTAAGTTAAAATACTGACAAGATGATACAAATGTGGTGTTCTTTTGAAACAGTCTGATTTGATTTGCTCTACAGATCCGGAAACTTGATGACTCTGAATTCAAAAATGCTTTTTCTCGGGCTTACATACGGGTATTTTCTTCAGTTTGACTTGTAATTGTATATACTATGATGTACACACTGTGCTGAGTCCGAGTTACCACTTTTGTATTCATTTTGGATTTTATTCTGCTATGTACAGGTGAAGGAATATGATTCTAGACGTAGCTATTCCAGAAGCCCTAGTTATGACATGAGACGGAGCTACTCTAGAAGCCCCAGTCGTAGTCCATATATGTCGAGAAGTCAAAGCCGCAGTCGCAGCTATAGCTATGGTGGCCGAATCAGAAGGTGCATAATGGTTTTTTGGCAACATTAGTTAGCAATTTTGTTTTTCCCAGTGCAATTTTGACAAAGATTCTCTTGTTGCAGCATATCACCGGAGGCAAAATATTTGCACCGCTCTCCATCAGCATCTTATCCAAGGTCTGTCTCACGTTCCCGTGCAAGGTATGGACATGCTACGTTAAAGTTCTGAACTTTTATTTCATGGGTATAGATGTACAAATTCCGTGTATTTTCATGAGGATTTCAGGTTTAGCACACAAACAATTCCTCATGATATTTCTTTTTGTTTAAAAATTTAGCTTCTCATTGTTAAATTGTTGTTTGAATGTCTTCTTCCTCTTACTTACCTTTCTTCTAGTAATTGAATTTCCTAGTGGATTTTCTGATAATTAAGTTATTATTTCTCCTACATTTACTTTCCTTTTTTCTGGTAGTTGGCTTTTATGTCTATTGACATCCATAACCCTAAGATTTGCTCATCATTGAACTCTGGCTTATATCTTCATATAGGCTTGCACTTCTAATAATTGATACAAATAGGCTCTGGCTACTCATTCAAACTTTGCATCTGCATCACTGCCAAGTGGTTGGCTTTTGCTTTATTGCTTCTCTTCTCTTATCTGGCTTGAGTGCTTTGTTCTTCTTTCCTGGTTCTGCTTTATTGCTTCTCTTCTCTTATCTGGCTTGAGTGCTTTGGTCTTCTTTCCTGGTTTTTTTTTTTTTTTTTTTTTTTGTTTCATCTATGTGATTATGGATGGAAATTATATAGGTAATTCTTCTTTCTGTGTTTACTAGTGAGAAGAAATCTAGAGTTGTTTTGCATTTTATACATGTTCTGAAATCTTGAAATTACATTATCCAGTATGTCATAACATGGTTTCCCTCATGATGTGTCCTTTCCAAATCTTGGAAGTTACTGGCTAAACAAGCCTCCTCAAAAAATAAATTGAACAAGCATTCATGCTCTTGAGAAGTTAATTGAGACTTTTCCTTTGGGATCTTCGTGTTCCGTATTTTGATTTTGTTAGTAGATTCTAGCTTGGGCGTGCACCTCGTCGAATTTGTTAGTCAAATCCTTTCCCTATCTGGAAAATTTTGAATATTTAGGTTTTTAGCTATTCAATGCATGTTTTAGCATTGCACTGGCCCTTTTAATTTTATGAGGTTACAACTTTCAAGCTGAGCAGATTGTCAGATGACCTTCGGTATACTATACCATTCAGTTGGCTTGGAACAGTTCACTAACACCATCCTATTACCCTTACCCGTATGTTTGTTACAGATCAAATTTTCAATCCTTTAGATTTTGTTCTGTAGGGATCTGAGTGTTTTGTATCTGTTTCACTTTTAAAACTTTCTGAGTATGTTTTTTTCATTAAAGAGAATGTGAGTTTGTTGTGTCTCGTCTCTTCTCTTTAAAACAATCTGAGTATGTTTTTGGAAAAAGAATTTGAGAATTGTGTATTATCTATTTCAAATTCTTATGTGTCATATTTCCAGTTTTTTCCAACATGGGGATTTGTACTATGACGTCTTTTTGAAACTCTCTTCTAACCACTTCTCAAACTTGGTATACAAAACCATTTTCCCAAATTTTTCAATGGTGTAAGGGGAAAATAAGAAGGGTTATCAGGTTAGCCGGTTATCCTAATCTGTTTATGAAGGTTGGCTTCTTTCTTGCTAGATCTGGATTTTGCGGAGATCTGGGGACTGGATGTTAGGAACTTGATGGGATGTGGTGCTCATGCCTGCAACTCTTAGTTGAGGTAACGCCACTTTATTGATGAGCACCTCTGAAAACATAGTCTCAATGGAAGTAATTCTAATGAGTTTGAATTCTAAAGTTGGATTTATGTTGGACACGTGCTATAGCTACCAAAAACCACAAATCAGCGGTGCGGACACATAAGGCTCAAAACTACTACATTCACTAACTTGCGATAAGGATGAGTGGATTTTCTCCTTTCATCTAGGATTAGATGTTCGATGCTGGTATTTTAATTTCTTACTACATTGGTGGTTTTATATTTCTAAGATCTGCCGGAAAGATCATGGGATGCTGGGTGTAGAGCATCTGGGCTAAAGGTTTATAATTTTTACTGTTTTCTTCCCGTCTAATTATGGTAAGTCTGCCCTTGAAAGTGGTGTCAGGGCCTTTGGGTCCAAAGTAGAGAATAATGCCGTTGAATATTGATTTGGGTTATTGGAAATTATTGCAGATCTCGGACAAGATCTAGGTCTCCAGTTTCTTCTGTAAGTTTTGTTTCCACTCTTTCATCTTTTCTTGAATTTAAAAGACCAATGGAAAAACAAAGTGAACCTCATATATAATGCATTCCATTATTATGCTCATGATAGTCTTCTACAACTGAATGCAGGCTCGTCCCAGGACTCTGAGCAGATCCAAGTCAAGATCCAGAAGCTTATCCTGGTCACTTTCACCTTCTGCAAGGTACTTTCCTTTTGTTTCTAATGATTGTTATCAATTCTTTTCCTTTCTCAGGATCACCATCATAGAATAGATGTTACATATCTGTCTCTGCATTTTTTTATCTAATAGCAGCCAATTTAAGTAATAGCATTTTAGGTACTAACTATGGTTGTAATTTGCAGGTGAGATCTAAACGAAGCCACGCCTTTGACCCCAGAGATAGTGCTATTAAGTACACAACTTTCTAGTGCTTTTTCTTTGGGGACACGATAGGGAAAATCAGTAACTTGATCTAGTGTTCTAGACATTTTGATTAGGACCTTCATTGGATGGTCTAGTATTGCATCTATGAAGTGGTTAGTTTGAAGATAATATGATGTATTAAATTAAACCATTTTACTTTTTCGCTTTTGAAGTGAGATAAGTGCAGCGCTTGCGGTTGATGTTATGTCTTGTATTAAATTAAACCATATTACTTTTGTGTCTCTGTTCTGATCCTGCGTTTGTCTCCATTCAAAACTTAACAGCAGTGAGTTAAGAAATAAGAAGTTCGCTAGCCTGTATTGAGTTCATGAACGAAGTTATTAGATCAATTTGAAAAGTATGACAGGTTTATACATATGAAAAACGTAGTTGGGAAGAAAGATTCCCACGTAGGTAGCTTAATCTAATTAGTATACGTCAGTGAGTATGTAAACATCAAGCTACATGAAGGTAGTTGTGCACCAGAGTCCAATCAGACCCTGAAAACATTTTGAGGAATTCAGGATCTGTTTGTTCTTGCGTTGAGATGGATTGGATGTTCCATTTTGAAGTCATGTTGCTTCAAAAGACTTGGTTTATTTTTTATGAACCCATTGGGTTGATGAAGGCATTAACATGTATATTTTGGTTTTCTATAAATGAAAACCGGAAAACAACAAATCAAATTTTCCTTGGTAAAACGTGTCTTTTTTTTTTCTGGAAACATTCCACATGGTATTCGTATGGGAGTTGACTCAAGAGTATGTTAAAAGTACAAGCTTTTGAAAACTCATTTATGTACACCAGGTGTGGTGTGGATTTATAAGTTTAAATGAAGACAAGCAATAGGTGTCAGAAAAATTGGGAAATATTTGAGTTCTCGTATACCAATAATTGTTCAAAAGGAAACCAAGCCATAAGCATTTGGTTTTGAGGAATATGTTTTTGGACATAAATAAATGACCCACTATTTACTTTATCCTGAAGAATTGCTTTTTTGTGGGTCATCACACAAGTGCTCAAATTTCTAGCTTTGCCACATCCAAAACGAGATCTTATTTCATATCCTCACGGCGAAGAAACTAGAGGAAGCTTAAGTCCATCACACCACCATGTGGCTGCAAATGATCATTTTCAGAGCCACGCCACAGTATTTTTTGGAGTCTGTCAGGTCATGACTAGACACCAAGCATTATAATATTATCGTTTTTCAAGCATACATAACTTTTGATTTCAGTTATAGTAGTGGTAGTTTGCTTCACCAAAACAAGGATAACGAGAAAGGCCTATGACCGATTTTGTGAAGGTGTCCTCTCGGACCCATGCCTTTGCCGGAAGCTGCTCCCTCTCATTGCTGAGTCTGACCCACTGCCACCCTGGTGAACAGCAGCCCAACCTTGGTCTCGGTCAACCTGATTCATTGAGAATGAAGGCATGTGATCTCTTTCCCATGCATGAAAACGATTAGGTAAAGGATTTTCAGCTTCTTGATAACTACGACCTGACGAGGCAGAGGGGAAAAAATAGAAACCACCATTTTGATCCGATGATGAAGCCACTGGCCCTACTTGAGCCACGCCTCTTTGACTGCTGGATCTTCGGGCTCCTTGAATTATGGGCGTACGCATGGTTGGTGAATTACTGGGTTGTTGTTGTTGATAGTATGCCTGGAGAGCTTGGACTCTGTCACGGGCCCGGGCATTGCTGCCTGGATAAGGAGGAATCATTGAGGACGTGACAGAGCTGCCAGCTCTAGCACTAGAACTGCACGAAGAATTCCCCATGTTAACATCTCAAGGATTCATGTAATTAATTAAAAAAATCGCATTAAATACTTAATGCGTCAATAAACATGATACCTATATATATGTCTAATGCAAATTCTCATCCAAACAATTCTAATAATAGATTTTGAAACCAAGGATTGATATTGGTATATATCAGACCACATCCAACCAATCCACTCTCATCTCCCATAGCCCATTTTCTCTTTGTAATCTTCACACGCATTGCGTGTGTGATACCTCTAAAACATTCTAATAAGCAATTAATATTGCTTCCTTTACAGTAAATGAGGGATGAAAACAGTCTGAAAAGCACCTTCAAATTTTGTCAAGGCATACCTGTGACCAACAAGGAATGGGTGCATAAAAGATCCTGATCTTGGTAAATCTGAACTCGGCCTAGCAGATCTTTGAGTAACAGATGGAATTGAACCCTGGTCAGCGCCACCAATATGATTGTTGGTTGTAGAAAATGGAGGCGGGGAATGGTGCTCCCAACTGTGATAATGAAGATCCATGGCAGGAAAAGCATAGGAGTTTGGTATTTCACTAGGTACTGATGTGCCACTCCAATGATGGTTAAAGTTGGAAGCTTCTGACACACTTCCACTGGAGTTTGAGGATGAGGGGTGAATTGGCCCAAAGTAAGCAATATATGGGCAAGGATGACCAGCAGATGATACAGCTGTATGCTCAGCAAAGATGGCATGTTGTCCAAGTAAATCGTGATCTGCAGTGCAACATTACTCCTATAAATGTCACACATTATAGGCTAAGCTCTGCCAAACTACAATAGAATATCACAAGTTAAATGAAAAGCAAAAGGTCTTACATGAAGTTGGCGAGAACTCCCCTTCCCTGTTAATTGAAAAAAAAAAAAAAAAAGGTTTTAACACATAGGAGGAGAAAATATTGCCCATAAATAGCAACAAAAAATTAAAAAAACAAAACAAAAGTCTGCTTGCAACATCAAAGAGTTCATTAGAGGCAATTATATTTAAACTCTAAAATTGTTTTGAAAGTCTTTACCATCTTTTCTGAAAAAAGTTAACCTTGAAATTCAAAAATAGAAACTCATATCCTCTGCTCCCCACCACACCCTCACCCTATGGCTGGTCTTCTTTTAAAGTTGCTGGTTATTTTCTGAAAACTTTTAAAGACTATACATGTTATAATATATTCATATGTTCAAGTCATTTATTTTATACGATTTGTTTAAATATTTGGTAAAAGTTTGTCAATTAGTTAAAAGTTTAAGTTAATTTTATTTAATCAATACACAAACATTAAAATGAACAAAACTATTTCTAATACCAATGCTTATGTCAGAGTCGATAAGACTTTCTAGAAAGAACAAATCCCAAATTCTCTTTTTGCTGAAACTTTAAAGCATTTGGGAAGAATGGAAGAAAAAGAGAAATATAGACTAACCATAAGTAATTGCGACTGTAGGAGAAGAAATAAGATACTATAACAAATATGAGAAAAACAGCACGGATAAAAAAGAAAATAAAAGACCATCTTTACATATTGGCACAATAGCCAGATGATGCTGCTCAGTGCTTTCTTGTTACTTCCCAGGAAAACGTAACTGCACCCAAAAGTGTGCAATCAATAAGGGTTCCCAGGAACCAAAGATCCATTGGCACTGATACTTTCCGTCAAAACACTCTGATTCTACATGTTTTGCTCAACCCAACCAATGTGCAAAATTAACAGCAAACTCTTAAGTAAACTTATTGAGATATGAAATAGAGTGGTAAAAGAAGATGGCAGAATAAAATCCAGTTAGCCACATGCAACTGCTTTCCAACTCTTTATGGTTACTTTGGGTTCCTTTGTGAATATATCCTCTCCTTGCACATACCAGGAGGAATAATTTATTGCAAAGATCCATATGAATGTTTTTTTATTCAAACTTATAAAAGAAGACGTGAGGGTCAAAACACTTAGGCCAAGAAAAGAAAAGACAACTAAGGTTCCTTCATAAAAGACACCGTTTGCATAGGTCCGTTTGAAAACTAACCCTTTTTCTGAAAGTTTAGATTTTTAACCCGCTTTGAACTTGAAAGGATTAGTTGTGGTCAATATGTGAGTCAAGATGTGGGTCGGGAATCCCCATCTAAACCTATATCTCAACTCGATTTCCATTCGTCAAGCTCTTGACATAGTTCAAAATAGATCAGTTTTCTAAAGATCCTATGTAAACTAGTTGTATTTTGAACCCAATAAACTAAACACTAATTACAGAAGAACTAGAACCAAAATAAGTTTAAGCATGAAGTGTTGCAAATGAGATCACTTACTCAAATGATGAAGGAAGTCGTGCTAAGCTACCAAATGGACACCAGTGGACACCAAAGGACTGCAAAACGCATTTGTATACCAAACAAAAATATCAAAATGGCGAACAACATTCTGTTAAATAGTAGTCTATAAAGCACATCAGTCAATCTAAGTCTTTATCTATACACACACAAGATACAGAAGTTCAGCATCAAAACATGTCACTTCTTTTTTTTTATCCATTCAACAGAGAATAACATGCAGAAGGATATTCGGTTGTCCTCCTTAAGATTATGTGGGAAGCCACTTGTGAAAGAAAATAAATGACAGCAATATGCAAATGCTTCATATGGCACCACTACTTCAATATGGAGGACTCTAGTTAGGCTCTTCTTAGAAATATTCGTCAATCTAATCTTCAATAACATTCCGCTCTTCAATTTAATGTAACGGGAAGAAATTAAAAAGACAACTAAAAATATGAGGCTTTGGTTCTCTTCGATTCCTCTTTGTTCCTTGTCAGATTTGAAGGCAAAGGAAGGCTCTCATAACTGATATAGATAAAACTTCGCACATTTGAAAATGAAACTTCAATTAGATCTGCTATTGATAGCACTGTACAATAAAGTATTACCTCAATCAGATCAGGCTCTTCTCAATAACTGTAAGCTTACTGTGTTCTGCCTATTTAACAAATTTGAGAGTTTGCTCCTAAATAGCCTCATTAACTTCACATCACATTTGACAAAAAACATTGATACCAGGTCAAGATAAATATTTTTATCCTCAGGCACAAAGTAACTTACCTATAAGCTGAGGTGACTGTTCACCACTAGCAAGGGAGAAAATTGAGATTCTGACTCTGTTAAGAGTAGCAATAAGGCTCTCAAGCAAGTCATCTAGGTCTACTTGTGTAAAGCTTTAAAATAGGGATTTTTTTGTAATAAATTACATATCGATATCAGGCAAATCTAGAAGCATGACCTTTGGCTTGAAAGGGAATACACTCATCCACTGCCTTTAATAAGGAATGAGTTATCCTAGCCTTTGAAGCAGTAATTCTTTTTTGTGTACTATTAATTTGACTCTATTTTGTTAGTTAACTAAACTGTTTACAATCTTAATATTTGTCACAAGTAGGTTGAAACCACAGAGACGTTTCTAAGCATGAACGAAGGGTTGTAACTATAGTGTCAGCATATAAAAATCATAAAAAGAAAATATTTGCATTTTGATTGCAAAAATCGAAAATTGATCAT